GATATATTCCAACATCTTCCTACCTAACCCCATTAAGGAAAGAGAGAGTTAACCTAATGCCAAAACAGGTTTATTGGTTATTTTATGCCAAAGAATGTGAGTAATTTGCAAGTACTCAAAATAAAAAAGGCTCGATACAAGCTGCCTCCCTTATACCCTAAGAAAGTATACCAACTCCAAACTTCAAGTTCACATAATAGACACACTAAAAAGAAATTCAAAGCTCCTGCTTTGTTAGGAAATAAATAAAAACTGCTGGAAGTAAATGAAATAAAAAAAATTAAAATTGAGATACTGATTCCTACAATAACATTAACTATTGTTTGTCTAAAACATAAGACCAATAAAACATTCAGAATTTAGGCATAAAGTTATATTTTAAGAGGAGAAAAGTACTGGCAATTTTTTTGTAGCTCCTCTGGCAGCTCCATACATGTAGGCTAAGAAAAGAAAATGAACATAGGTTTATGATAGCTAAACCTTTGAATATGGTACTTAAAAATCACTTCTATATACCTGACAAGAATAGGTACTCTAGAGTCTATTCAAATGTGTTCATATATCACCCTCTAGTATTTTGTTCATTTTTTTTTTACTAAAAAAACTACTACCAATACTTTTCAGCCTATGAATAGGAATTTTGCAGATCCCCCTTCAAACAAATCTGAAAGCCAAAACACAAAGCAAAAATTTTAAATGACAGATCCTTCCTGATACTAAGGCCAAGATTTTTCCCTTCTTCAAATCCTCTTAATCCAAATTATGAGAAATAATTTACTCTGTCCACTGGCAACATTTCTGCATAGTGACATAATCAGAAATTGTACTTCTTTCATTAGTTATTCATTCTCATTCTAACCCAAATATCAGGAACTCGGCAGTAAGCAAGAGGATATAATTTTCCCTGAAGCCTATAATGGAGGCATACAAAACTTACAACATGAGAAACTTAAGCATTTCGAAAGACCCTGTATGGCAGAGAAATGAGCCATCTTTATGGCCTCAGGGACAAACTATAAATCCTAAGGCAGATTTAAAGAAGGATTTATCCATGAATCTGTTTTCTCCAAGGCTGGACAGGGAGGGAGTGTGGAAATCACAGCTTTTTTGAAAGGATGAAAGGTGTCAGCTGGTGACACGATGGTTTCCTGAGGAAGAGAAGAAGACACTGAAACTTCTTGCTTTGTGCATGTGAAATCTTCCTTATTTTCCACCATCAATAACTGTTCTATCTCTTCTTTCAAAGAAAAACTTGCCTGGAACTCATGCTTGGGTATTATAAAGTGTTCTTTCTGAGTTATTCTTTGCTCCTTTAACCCTTTTAACTCAGGACAAATGAGTTTGTTACTGGAATTGTCACTGGCTTCTCCTTCCTTTATGGGAGGTAGATGAGACTTCACTGTTGTTTGTTTGGCTCCTTCTTTCAAAAAATTCACATCCTCATGAAATTCCGGAGATGTAAAACTTGGAGCTTTATCTATTCTAGAATTTTTACAAAATAAGAAGCCTCTGACTTTTTCCTCTTTTCCTGTTGTCTCTGCCACTGATTTCTTTGGGCGTAGCTCAGTCCTTATTAGGAGTCCCTTTGCATTCACCTTATATTCTTTTGCAGCTCTCTCTCTGCGCTCCTTCTGGAAGTCCTTGAGTTGAAGTAGCTCCTCTGGAAGCTCCATACATGTAGGCTAAGAAAAGAAAATGAACATAGGTTTATGATAGCTAACCTTTGAATATGGTACTTAAAAATCACTTCTATTATACCTGACAAGAATAGGTGCTCTAGAGTCTATTCAAATGTGTTCATATATCACCCTCTAGTGTCTTCAACTATAATTGTACTATTTTTGAGCAAAAATATTTTGAAAAGGTAATGAGTCCACATGTGTGTGTACATATGTATGTGTAAAGATTATACAGGGAAAGTGAGTCTTCCAACCTGGCCCCAGTTGCCTTAGCAGATGTATCTTCTAAAAAGCTGTTTCTTGTGTAACCTACCAGAGGAAGTCTGCATATATGATTATAAGTGTATACATATACACCTTATTACATGTTTATATTTCCAATGCATTACTTTTTTATTATTTTTGCAATACTAGATATCCAACCCAGAGCCTTGCCCATGGTAGGCAAGTGCATTACTACTGAGTTACACTCCCAGTCTTGATGGCATCTTTGGTTTTTCCCCTAACTTTTAATGTTGGTAACTAAAATCATTCTACACAAATGATACCATACATTATATATTCTTCAGCATCTTGTTTTAGATTGTTTGTTTTTTTACTAAAAAACAAATGTTTAGGAAATTGTTCCATATTAGCATTTCTAAGGGCTATGTGGACATATTGTAACTTACTTAACCAAACCTGTTGTGTTCCCCACCCCCAACACACACACACACACACACACACACACAGTGACCCACCACTGAGCTATGTCCCCAGGCCTTTTTTTTTTTCATTTTGAGGCAGGATTTAGTTACATTGCCCAGGCTGGCCTCAAAGTCCTGTTCTCAGACAATGTTTCTGCTTCAGCGTCTCAAATAGCTGCTATTACAGGCACATGTCACTAGGCCCAACTATCACACCAAGTTTGCAAAGTCAAATTTATGAATTTTTTATGTATGATCTTCAAGTATTTTTGTGTTATGTTAAAATATTCTTGTATTAAAATTTTAAAATTATTTTTCTAATAATTTTCTAATTTCACTAAAAAATTTTTTTAGTAGTAGATGGACACAATACCTTTATTTTATTTATTTATTTTTATGTAGTGCTGAGGATAGAACCCAGTGCTGCACATGTGCTAGGCAAGTGCTCTACCATTGAGCTACAACCCTAGCCCCATCTAATTTCACTTTTTTATACAACTACTTGATCCAAGGAGTTTATTTTGTTGTAATGAAAGAGAACAATCCAACTCTGGCTCTCCTCCTCTATATTTGTAAATTAATTGCCTAAGACCCTTTACTGAATAATCTCTCCCATTGATTGGAAATGCTAATTTATCACAATCATCTTGGCAAATTGATACTGAGTTTATTTCTTGGCTCTCTACTTCATTCCATTGACCTGCTTGGTCATGTATCAGTCAAAAAATGTTTTAGGGCTGGGATTGTGGCTCAGCAATAGAAAGCTCGCCTGGCACAGGTGGGGACCCGGGTTCGATCCTCATGCACCACATAAAAATAAAGGCATTGTGTTGTGTCCATCTATACCTAAAAAATAAATATTAAAAAAAGTTAATTAAAAAAATGTTTTAGTGTAGCTTTGTTTTAATATTTTACAAAGCCAGTCTTCTTTCAGCATACTCCTTTTCCCAAGATTTCCTGGCTATTCTTGCATATTTACTGGTTTTTACAAAGTCTGTAATGACAATCTGTCATAATAATCCAGGTGTTACTATTTTTTTTAAGAGAGAATGAGAGAGGAGAGAGAGAGAGAGAGAGAGAGAGAGAAGAGAATTTTTAATATTTATTTTTTAGTTCTCGGCGGACACAACATCTTTGTTGGTATGTGGTGCTGAGGATCGA